ATGATGATGATGATGATGATGATGATGATGATGATGATGATGATGATGATGATGATGATGATTATTATTATTATTATTATTATTATTATTATATAAGATGTCAAGGAAGCAAAACTGTTTGCACTTACAGCATATGTTCTGTCTCACAGCTGTGGGTCCTCTTTTATTTGATGTTTATACAAACAAGATTTTTAAAGGATAACATTATTATGGTGACATTTGTGGAAAAGAACTTGCATTGCAAAACAAAGGAGAGGGACTAGAAGACAAAAGCCATTGGAAATAGAAAGCAAAATATCGAGGTCAAAAAGTTATCAAATTAGAAAATAATTCAAGCTTGGCAGGCAGAAAGCCTTTTTCGAAGAACAGAAAATTGCCTTGGAAGCGGGAGAGGGGACTCCTGTCCTGCAGGCCCCATGGGGTCTCTCGGTGTCCCCAGCCTGGTCCACATAAATCTTGTTTCGCCTTGAGAAAAGAACACTATGGGGAGAAGGAGGAGGAGGAGCCTGCTAATGCAGAGGAGGGGCAGGATCTGTCCTCGGTCATCCCAGAGCACAGGACATTAAATAAGTAGGCTCAAGTGCTGGGAAGCCAGATTTCAGCTGAAGATCAGGAAAAACTTCTTAACTGTTAGAGCAGTACAACAATAGAACCAATGGCTTTGGGAGGTGGTGAAGCACTCCAACGCTGGCAGGCATTCAAGAGCTTTTAGACATCTGTCTGTTAGATGCACTTTGATCTGGATTCCTGCCTTGGGCAAGAGGTTGGGTTCAATGGCACAACAGGCTCTTCCGACTCCATGATTCTGTGAAACGGCACTCTTGAAAGTGCATCTTAACTCAAAGCCAGGCAGGTACCTTAGAGCTATTTTGATACGTGGAGCAAAAATCCCCTCGCAGCGCTTCCCCCTTTTGTTGGCAGTACGGAAACAACAGTAAATTAACACCGGTAATGATTTGCTGCCCTTTTGCAATTCCCAAATCTGTGGCCGGAGGCAGCCACGTCCATCTTTCGAATGCTAATGCTAGGCATTCTGTGTGGACAGCAACCTCTAGCATCTTGATGAGTTACAAAATAATTCTTCCTGGCAGGTAAGATAACAGCCTTTCCCCCACTTTCTTTCAGGTCAGACTATGACGACTGGAGACCCGCTCTTGCCAGCTTGCTTCAACCAATCCCTTTCCCCAAAGAGTAAGTTTGTGGTGTCTGGTTGCTGGGGAGGGAGGTCCTCCTTCTGTCACAGCATTTTAGGTGGAACTGTGTTAGATCTTTCCACCCAGAGGATATGGGAGAAAAAAATTTCAAATACTAGAGGAAACCTGAACTTGAGGCAAGGATACGGGGTTTTATTGCTGGACTGAAATCTCATGATCCTTTACCATTGGCTGTGTTGGTTAGAGAAACATCTGAAGGGCCACAGCATCTCACGCCCAAGATATTTAAAGAGAACATACAAGATTTGGAGGGCATCATGCCCCTTTGCCCACTTTTGAGGCTAAATTAGCAGTCCTGAAGTATGGTATTCAATTCTTTTTTAACAAAAACCTCTGGTTTATGAATGTGGGATGGTCGTGCTCTGCATCCATGATTCAAAATGGCACAAAATGTGCAATATTGTACCCATGTTACCAACAGGAGAAAGGATGTCAAGCTTTGCATAGCAAAGAGTAGCCTGCATGTGGACAACACCCATGGCAGTAGTCAAGATGGTCTACAGGATCCCCTCTTGTTTTCAGTATGATTCACAAAGACACGCCAAGCAGAGGAAAATCCCCAAACATTTTTCATCAACAAACCACAAATACTTATATTTTAACATTTGTAACTCAAAAGCTCTTTGCCCAAATATCCCCAGATTTGGCACAGAGCAAGAGCACACCGTCTGCCACAACAGTGCCAAAGGTGATGGTGTTGTGAATCCCTATCTAGAAGATAAAGATTTTTGTTTGGACTGCTCCCATTTTTTCCCTAACCCTAACCCTTATAGAACGTTAATTTACTCTGCCGAGCACAAGATTGTTGCTGCACTCTCATGCAGCAGTTATAAAACCCTTCAGCCCTGCTTCTCCTTGTTGGTGCTGCTCCCGACTTCTCCTGCCCCCTTCTGACTGTGAGGCACCTTGTTTACTTTCCCCAATTAGAGGAGGAGGAAGTGGGGGAAGAGGAAGCGGTTGCAAAGAGGAAGGCAAGGCTGTGTTAATAAGCCAAGAAGCCAGCGGGTAAGGCCAAGTCTGAAAGACGTCAGCCCCTGTTCGGTTTGCTGGTTTGTTCGACCTGCGAAATCTGCAGGCATCCTTGAACTGCATGGAGAGAGGACACTTTGAGCTCCCTCTTTATCTTATCTTCAGCTTAAGTCCTGGAAAGCAATGCTCGGTGGTTACTTTCTCCTCCCAGTGAAAGGAGAGCAGAGGCAGGTCTCTCACCCTCAGGAACGTCCTACTGGACGGACTGAGATTACTTTCCAGAAAACCAAAAGCGTCCAGGACAAATGCCCTCGTAGGATCAAGTAACAAACCAGGGATTGCACTAGGAAGCAAAATGGGCGAAAATTGTTCCAGTGGAAACAGAAAACGATGGCAAAAAAAACCAACAACATACAGTACCTTGTTCCTTAGGCTGTGTCGATTGTTCCAGTGGAAACAGAAAACAATGGCAAAAAAACCATACAGTACCTTGTTCCTTAGGCTGTGTCTGAATGCCACTCAAGATGGTCTCCCTTTGGAACCTATTAATGACATCAGTGTTTATGAAATGCAGATCTCAGAGGGAGAAACATTATAGTCTGTAATTGTCCAATTTGCCAGCTTATCGCTTCCCTGAGCGGCCCGGTGCTTTCGATGGCTGGATTTTCACAAACGGCATGTGCTTCGGAAAGGCTATGAGGTGCAGAAGCCCTGGGCATCATTTTACCTGAGGCGGACGTGGCTTTTTATTCAGGGCGGTGGTGCTTTCCCGGATAGCACAGGACCCGGAGGCCGACTGCTGATTGGATCGCCACGCACTGCGCTCTGTTAAGAGTGACCATTAATTGCTTGACTAATGTACCACACTAATTAGATATGACCCTGCCTTAATTGCACTGCAATTAATGAGCACACCTGGGACTCGGACTGCGTAGAAAACCCTGTTTACAAGTGTGTTCACAGTTTCTGTCCCTAGTACCTAAAAGTTTTCCATTAGCTTTTAGGATGACAGCATTTCCCCATAGATCTCTCTCTCCTCTCTCTCTCTGCATTTCTAAATCGCTTTTAGGATAACAGCATTTCCCCATAGATCTCTCTCTCTCTCTTTCTCTCCTCTCTCTCTCTGCATTTCTAAATACATTTTTTTCTCAAAGTGCACATTTCTAAAGACATTTTAGAGTTCTTCTAGGTCCCTACATTCTGTTCCACACATGCAATATAGTAACCAAAATAGTGGGGCAGTTTTTATGATTTTGGTTTTATACAAGTGCCTAAATCCAATTGTTCGTTCCTCCTAGAGTAGACACATTGATTCAGTGGAACTTCAGTGCAAGTATTGACTCATCGTTGTGCAATTAATTAATTCCAGTGGTTTCCTCTGGCTGGGGCTAGTCCACAGTCACCCTTGTCTGATTTATTGTCGCCGCAGCAATATATAATACCTGGGGTGCTCCAGGTTGCCATTGGCCATTCCTATTGAGGGTAAAGAAGAGTCCGGCCCACCAAACTAGAGAAGGCTAGTCAGCATTGTTAAAATGCATTCCCCCCCCCAGTCCAGCCCAGCTCAACTCCCATTTGTGTCTTGCCTTGTTGAACACAGCATTGGTAGGATATAGACCACAAGTTCTTTTTTTGTGTGTGTGTGATGATTCTTGAATCCTTAAAATGACTTCGAAAGTGAAATCATTCAAAATAATTCATAATTTTCAGTTCTTTTTTTTCCTCTCTTTTCAATTTCAGGGCTCTTGCACATGAAAAGTTCACAAAGTGAGTGCTTATTTGCTTATGATAATTTATTGTGTTGAGATAAATAACCCAAAACTAGAAAAGGGAGGTTCATTTGTATCCCTCTGTTCTCCAGTCCTGATCTTTGGAGGGTGCGAATGGAATAAAAACAGGACAAACACTATTCAAACGGGGTGATGGAATAGAACAATTTGAGGGAAATTTCCTCGGAGATATGAAAAAGCCAGGTCACTCAGTATGAAACCCACACCCTTTGAGCCTTCTCCCATGGACTCAAATCATGACAATCATTCATGGCATCGTTACATACAATCAGGACTTCCTTTGTAGGACTGGCTTTGAAACACTTGCATGAAATGCCACTTCCTGGCTTTGAGCTTGAAAACCGAACAAACACAAATGTATGGATCAGTCACTTCCAGACTGACGCTGGTTACATATGGCTCCAGCAATGCGTGGGGCTGTTAATGGGGCAAGATTATCCATATATTCCCCTTAGCACCTTCATGCATGGAGGACCCACAGCTGCTGAATGCCTGGTGGACATTTAGGCCAGATCCGTGCCCATTTCTACCCTACCTCCTCCTACAAGGAAGTCTGCCTTGTTCTACCACTGACCATATTTTGCGTGAAAACATCGCTCTCTGGAAGAGCTTGATTTATGTCATCAGGATACTTTCATAACAATGTGCTGTCCAGCCCATTCTGACTTAGAGCCACATTTTTCAGGATTTTCCAAGCAGAAATATTCGGAAGTGGTTTACCAAGGCCTTCTTGTGGGAAAACTGTGCAGCTGGCCCAAGGCCACCTAGGAGGGCTCTTCCCCCTAAGAGGTTGAGTGGGGAATCGAACTCCCAACCTCTGGCTCTACAGCCAGAGACCTAACTGATTGAGCTATCCAGCCAGGTGGTAGTGGCAAAACTCCTCTTTAATCACTTCACATGTTATATGAACAATTGAGATCATTTTCCAGTGCTGGAGTGTTGGGGTTGAATGGCCTCTGGATTGTTGCAAAGCCTCTTCCTGGTCCGTAAACCCTCTTGGCAGGTCTCTAAAACCTTATAATTCCTTCCTGGGAAATGTTCTCTCCCCTCCTTTCCCTGCAGCCTCTCCCCGAAGAGGGGCATCCATCACTTAAAAGCGTAGCCAGAATGAAATGTGACAGCTGTGTAAATTTTGGAAGAGGCCCGCAGCCCAGTCATCCTCTCTCCCTCTTTGTTTTTTATCTTTTGCCCTTTCAAGGGAGTTGAAGTACGTCATTCAAAGATTTGCAGAAGATCCAAGGCAAGAAGTGAGTGTCTTTCTAGCGTAACTTATCAGAGGGAACGCTGTGTGTTGTTTCTCAGAATGTCCCATTTTTTAAGTAGCTTTGTGTTCCAACAACTGGCCAGCTTGCTCCACTTGTGTGCTTTCATTTGAATCCCAAAAATGCTTGGGGACATAAAAAAGCTTCTTGTCAATGGCTTCTTGAGTTGTTTGTAAACACAAGCCCCTGTCCTGGATGTCTGTAATCTGTTGTTGATGCTGCTCTGGTTTCAGACATTGCAACCAGTAAGAGAGCAATTTCCTGGCACCCTAATTTTAAGGCTGTGAGGGGACAGGGCTTGCTGTTACCCTAGTTAAAACAACTGGGAATCAAAACTTCTTGATGGTCTGTTCTTGATGGAACCGCCCATAGATCTGCTAATAGAGCCCTACTTTGCTCATTCTGGAAAAGTTAATATTTGCTTTACTACCATATAGCCAACCTTTCCCAGATCTGCTCCTGTCCAGGGCGCATCGGTGACCTTCTTCACTTTTGCCTCGCCTGTCGTTTGCTCTACAGGTCCATTCGTGCTTGCTGAGCGTCCGGGCTGGCAAAGATGGCTGGTTCCAGCTCTACAGTCCTGGTGGTGTGGCGTGCGATGATGATGGAGAGCTGTTTGCCAGTATGGTAGGTGCCTGTCTGACTCTAAAGCTGGCCGAGGCAGATGGGAGTTGTGAGATGACACAGCCGAAGGACACCAACTTGGAAGAAGTTGCTTTGAAGTTGGGCATAAAGTCCAGCTGGGCCAGATGTTTGGATTTCTCTAATGGAGACCCCTGGTGCACTAGAGCAGTGATCCTCAACCTTGGGCCTCCAGATATTCTTGGACTACAACTCCCAGAAGCCTTCACCACCACCTCAGCTGGCCAGGATTTCTGGGAGTTGAAGTCCAAGAACATCTGGAGGCCCAAGGTTGGGGACCACTGCACTAGAGAACGACAGCAGGGACTGCTAAGGGTCTCAGAAAAACGACATGTCCTTCAATTCCTTAGGTTGGTGCCCATAAGAGTTGAAAATGACAGCAGGGACTGCTAAGGATCTCAGAAAAACTACATGTCCCACAGTTCCTTAGGTTGGTGCCCATAAGAGTTGAAGTGGTATAAAAGTCCTCTTAACTGTGTAGTAGAGACCTATCTTGTGACTCTAATTCTGCACCTAAATATCTGGAATTAAGTCCCATTAAACTTAGTGGGGTTTAATGCTGATCAGGCATGTTCAGGATTGACTTGAACGCCACTGAGAAAAAAGGTCAGGACTGTGATTGCATGAACTAAATACTCCGTTCTGACTCTTCCCCCCCACCCCGCGTAATTCTGGGGCAGAGTTCAAAGGAATGATGCCCCAACAGGTTTGACGGTCCAGGGACTTCAGATGGATGTCTTTGCCCGTTCTGGTTTGCAATAGGGTTGTTTTCCAGAGTGAAAAATTCCTCTCCAAGTGTGCCAATAGGTTTATAAGTTTACGCCACCTTCTTTTAACGCTGCCTTGCCCAGGTTTGCCTCTCTCACCTGGTTCTCTCTTCCACTTTCCACAGGTTCATATTTTAATGGGCTCCTGTTACAAGACGAAAAAGTTCCTGCTTTCGCTGGCGGAAAATAAACTGGGGCCCTGCATGCTGCTAGCGTTGAGGGGCAACCAGACCATGGTGGAGGTAATACTGCTTTATTCAGGTACACATGTGTGCAGGCTTAGCCAGTTAAGTCATCATCACCATCCTCATCATCATCTTAGAACTACAGAGCTGGAAGGGACCCTATGGATCATCAAGTCTAGCCCCTCTTAAGGAGGCACAGTGGGGGAATCGAACACCGAAACCCCTGGCTCCACAGCCAGATGCTTAAAACCAAACCCCTGGCTCCACAGCCATATGCTTAAAACCACTGAGCCATCCAGCAGTTCTAAATAAACCCTGCATCATTATAGAGTAGCAATACAATATTTACTCAGATGTGAAGTCCTGTTGTGTTTCATGGGGGCTTAACTATCTAGTCCCTATGTTCAAGACCACAAGTTGTGGGATATGCCCCGTTGATTTCACAGAAAAAAGGGAAAAAGCTGAACGGAAGGTGAGCAAAGTGCAAGGAAACAGCCTGGTGTCGTGTGGATGCAGACAACATTCAGGCTCTGCTTCCAATCTGTCCCAACCAAGGATCAAGGGAGATTTAATCCAGTAGCACCTGGAGGGTCAAGGTTTCCCAACCATTAGTGCAGTGCAGTGGTTCCCAACCTTGGATAACCCAGGGGTTCTTCGACTATAATTCCCAGAAGCCTTCACCACCAGCTGTGCTAGCTGGGGTTTATGGGGATTGCAGTCCAAGGACCCCTGGGTTATCCAAAGGTTGGGGAACTGAGGTTGTCGTTGATACAATTTTTGGAGCCGGGCTAGGGCGACATGGGTTCCGATCTCCTGCTCGTCAGGTGAAGCATGCCAGGTGACCGTGGGTAGCCAGTCTCCTTCAGCCTCACCTCCTTCATGGGGTTGTCATGAGAATTTTTTAAAAAGCGCCCAACCCTGTCATTCCCCAACCGGAGGCCCCATTTCAAAAAGCTTTCAAAGAAACAAGACCAAAAAAAAAGCGTTTGTGTTGCTGTCGGGGAAGGTATCCCCAGCTGATGAGTGGCTGACGTCTTTTATCTTCTCCCCCCCCCCCACAATGCCAGATTCTCTGCCTGATGCTTGAGTACAACATCATCGACAACAAAGACACCCAACTGCAGATCATCTCAACTCTGGAGAGCACCGATGTGGGGAAGAAAATGTACGAGCAACTCTGCGACAGGCAGAGAGAACTGAAGGAACTGGTGAGTTGTGTGTGTGTGTGTGTGTGTTGGTGTTGCAATGCAAAAGCAGGGAACAGGGAGGAAATGTTGATGGGCCGTAAAACTCCCTGTTGCACTGGGGGGGGGCTGTGGTGCTTTCAGTTTTGTTTTTCACCCATCACATTAATGTGTGCCCCACATAGCGACATTAATCCTTTCCAGGAAAAATGTCGCTATCTGGAAACGTCGCTATGCGGGGGGGGGGAACTCCATAGGAACGCATTAAACTCTGTTTCATGCATTCCTATGGGGACAAAACTCACCGCTAAGCAGGAATCCTCAATCCGGCTGCCATTTTCGCCGCCTCGGTAAGCGAGGAATCGGCACGAAAATGCTGCGGGCAGCCATTTTCTTCTTCTGGCGGCCATTTTGGAACCGCCAATCAGCTGTTCCAAAACATCGCAATGCGAAGATCGGTAAGCGAAACGCTTACCAATCATCGCAATGTGATGTTTTCCCTATTCAGAACATCGCAATGCGATCGCATTAGCGATTGCAAAAAACACGTCGCTATGCGGATTTGTTGTTAAACGGTGCGCTCGTTAAGCGAGGCACCACTGTACTCAAATCCATCACTTCTGTGCACTTAACTCCATCTGACCCCATTACTGGGGAGAGAAAACAGGGTGGAACAGGAGAGCTTCCGCTGTGCAGTGGCAGATGCACAGGCCCGGAGATGGGCGTGAAACACAGGTTTGGTGGTTCGGCGTGGTTTGCTTCCTGTCCGAATGGCTGATTGATGGTTCAGCACCCCACCCCCTCCAGCAGGCACCCACTCGGTGGCAGCTGCCAGAGGAGGTGGGGCAAGGCACTGGAGTGAGTAGGGAGTTGCTGGAGGGGGTAGGGCATTGAACTGAAGTTTTTTGTGTCACCTTAAAGACAAATCGGGCTTACTTCAAGGTGAACCTTTGTAGGTTACAGGCCTACAGGTGTATTTAGTCACCGTTCAGGGAGTGGGGGCGGTAGGGGCCAAGTGACGAGGGAAAAGGGGACAGAAAACATCCAGTAATGAACTCTACGCTTGAGAAGAGTGTGCCTGAGACAAGAACACAGTCCCTGGAAAGCCCCCAGACTCTCCAGCAAAGGCTGGGCCACCCACAGAAACTGAAACCAAAAGGGCCCCATCTGGTTTTGTCAAATACTATTTTGGAAAGGAGCTGCATTTTTTTTGTTTGTTTGTTTTAAAAGAGAATCCTCACTGCTAGATGTCCCTAGACATGGGATTTTTGGAATTCATAGGCCACAGAATTCTCCCATCCAAACTTATGGGGGTTTTAGCCAGAAAAAAAAGAAAAAAAGAAACACACAATAATTTCAGGTGTCTGTAAATGGGTCCGTGAGCATCTGTTCTCACTGCACCTTGTTGTTCGCCAGATTGTCTAGGGCTGATGAGAATCACCAGAAGACCACAGATCCTTGCCTCTTAGAAATGAGCGTAGCTACTTTAGAGCGTAGCTACTTCAGTGCCAAAAGGATTTCCCGCCGTCTGTTTATGGGGAGCTTCATCCCCTACCATCTAGTAGTCAAGGGTGTGTTGCCTCTATCCAACCCATGCAAAAGACTTCTGTATCATTTAAGGTCCTTTTAACAGGCGGTGCCATCGGTTTGAGGCTGGGACCTCCGACAGGCAAAATCTGTGCAAAATCTCTTGGATCCCTAGACATGTAATCAGCCTGTGTTTTGTTTCACAGCAAAGGAAGGGCGGTCCCACCAGGTTAACCTTGCCGTCAAAATCAACGGTGAGTTGTCTCCCTTCTCTTCAGCTCCTTCAATTGTGGGAAAATGTCATCAACCCGTGGAAAAAACGTGGAGGGGCTGAGCCATTTTTTTTGTTAAATCTGGGCTGGAGTTGCACATCAGATCCAACAAACGACGGAGTAGGTTTCTGGATCATGTGAGTTGCAGATCATGAGTGAAAGCCCAAATCCGTTCTGGCTCTTCTCTGATGTAGTTGAAGGCTTAAGTGGCAGGCTTTGTGAAACAGGGCACAGATGTCTCTGCTTGTAAACTCATTCCTGCTGTGACCTTCAAATAAGGATTTAAGCCGGCCACGTCAGAGGTGGGTGAATGTTGAAAAGGATGGAATCGAAACGGCCTTCCTTTTTTGACTAAAAAGGAAGTTCTCCAGCCAGAGAGATCCCCTTTAAACCCAGAGGAAGCACAGAGGTGAAATGCTCTGTTGAACTTTCGGAAATCACCGCAGAAATTTTAACAGGAATGAGCACACAGCTTTCAGATCTAGATAAAATAAAGTCAGATATTATCATGGCTTCTTGCAAAAAAAAAAATTGACTTGAAACAGCACTGCAGCATGATAGAACAATTTGAAGACTGTAAACTGAGAAAGTCATCTTTGTTTCAGTGTTTGAAAAGCTCAGCTTTCTTGTTCTCTCCAGCAGGGCCTCCTGTCCTCATGGTGGAATTATTGGGTTTCCTGGACTCCAGATACCATAATTCCTCATTCTGGAAGTTCTGCCTACTTTACAGACACCTAAATAGGGCTTGCCTGGGAGAGAGACCCAAAGGGGGAGGTTTGAGGCTTAGCTAGGCCTAACTCTGCCCAAGCTTCCTGCTCGGAAAGCAAGAACAGGAAGCTTAGGTGGAGTTAGGCGTAGTCAAGTCTCAGAGACTTCCAATTTAGGCTTTACTGTCAGGTGCGTCATACTTGTGTGTCTGTAAGGTACCTATAATAGGGATGTGGTGGTGCTGCGGGTTAAACCACAGAAGCCTCTGTGCTGCAAGGTTGGAAGACCAGCCGTCGTAAGATCGAATCCACGTGATGGAGTGAGCTCCCGTCGCTTGTCCCAGCTCCTGCCGACTTAGCAGTTGGAAAGCATGTAAATGCAAGTAGATAAATAGGTACCACCACGGTGGGAAGGTCATGGCATTCCGTGTCTAATCTTGCTGGCCACGTGACCATGGAAACTGTCTACGGACAAAACGCTGGCTCTACGGCTTGGAGACGGGGATGAGCACCGTGCCCTAGAATCAGACACAGCTGGACTAAATGTCAAGGGGATCCTTTACCTTTTAAGGTACCTATAAATTTGCAAAAATGTATGTTAGGTCTGACCTGTGCCACCTTTTGCTCTTCAGGATGCAGACCTGGCCCGGTTGTTAAGTTCAGGCTCTTTCGGCAACCTGGAGAACCTCAGTCTGGCCTTCACCAACGTCACGAGTGCCTGCGCCGAGCATCTCATCAAGCTCCCTTCCCTCAAGCAGCTGAACCTGTGGTCAACTCAGGTAGGACCCTAGTGGTCAAGGAAGGAAGGAAGGTCGCCTTCATCCTTAATTTGAGGCTGTGGGATGCTTCGGGAAGAGACAGGGACCAAGGGCCTCCTGCACGCTCGTCTGAAAACAGACCCCTTCCCTTGCAAAACCTAGATGGGGTGGCCCCACATTAGGTGTCCTTCCTCAGCCAAGAACCGGAGGAACTTATTTCTTAGATCTGTGGTTCCCAACCTGGGGTCCCAGAGGTTCTTGGACTACAACTCCCAGAAATCCTGGCCAGCACAGCTCGTGGTGAAGGCTTCTGGGAACTGTAGTCTAAGCATATCTTTTGCTGCAGGTCCCAGTTGTACCATTAAGCCTTAAGATGGCTGCCATTGCCACATCCTGTGGTAGGCGTAAGTTCATGTCTGTTCATGAGAAGCCACCAGTCCATTTCAATGGCGTGCCCAAATTCCAGTGGTAGATGAGATGAACTGTTTTATAAAACTTGGGTGTTACCTGCTACTTTGGCATCTCTTCCTCTAAAGCAGGGTTTGGAAAAGTTATCTTTCTTGGACTTCCACTCCTGGAGACCCTCAGCCAGCATTTCTTAAGCCCTGGCCTAAACCACAAGGGCCCAAACAGTAGAGCGGCACGTCTTGTGTGCAAAAGGCCCCGATTCAGTCCCTGGCATGTTGAGATGGAAGAACCAGATACCAGCTCATGAGGAAAACCTTGGAGAACTTCCAGCTGTTCCAAGAATTATCACACTGGGACAGAGGGACAAATTATTTCACCTGCCCTGTAGCTTTAGAAGAGATCACCATGTTTGTCTGTGCTAGCGTAAGAGGCAAAGAAAAAAAAGAAATATAAAAAATAAAGAAGACAAAAACATTGTGGCACCTTTAAGGTGCCACAGTGTTTTTGTCTTCTTTATTTTTTGTATCTCTTTTGTCTTTGCCTGTCGGACTGACTAACATGTAATTGGGCAAAGTCCTGTGTCCATATGGAAACCTGTACGCCACCAGACTGTTTCCACTCCCTTGCGTGTTTTGCTCCGTGTTAAATACAGCTCTTGTGTTTTCTGCCCACACAGTTTGGAGATGCAGGTTTGCGGCTCCTCTCCGAACACCTCACAATGTTGCAAGTGCTTAACTTGTGTGAAACGCCCGTCACAGATGCTGGCCTGCTGGCACTGAGCTGTAAGTGAACCAAGAGACAAACGAGGGGCGGCGTGGAGTGGGAGGCGACATTAGAGTGCATGGACCCAGAGGTGTTTTGTGGACCCTTTGGAGGGTTGGTTCTTGCATCGACCAAATTGTTTGTTCGCCAGATCCCGGTGAAACATCAGTTATGTTTCAACCCATGCTGCTGGGTCAAGGAGGGGAGTTGTGCTGGAGTTGTATTCTTGCATTCTGCATTGGTGTGCTTAACGCATGAAAGAAGGAAGCTTGGTAGCCACACACACACCTCCAACATCGCTCCCTCCACTAGCCATGAAGTGCAATGAATCTAAAGAGAAGAAGGAGAATCTTCCCAGATCCCAGCTGTTGCAGGGAGTATCCCTGGATAGCTGAGCTCTCCCTTATCACATTTTTATCTGCTTCCACATGGAGGGAGGCTAACAGATCGGGAACGGTGGGGCGTGCAGAAGTGAGCCTTGCTTCTTCACCTGGTAGCTTCAAAATCTAAAGCCTGAATAGGCCTTGGAGGAATAATGTTTCCGGGCAATTTAACTCAAAGTAACTAGTCCCTTTACTCTCACCCCACCCCTGCAGTGATGTGGTTTCTTAATCATTGGTGACATTTGCCTCATTTGATACATTCAACTGATGTCGTAAATGCGTTTTCCCATGTGGTCACTCATCTAAGTTCTTACGGGACTCAGATCTGCAATGGGACTGAGAATTACCTAATACACGAAGTAACTTTTTCAAACTCCAGGTCTTTGGCAAGTAAATAATAGGACAGAAGAAGTTGGTTGTGTCTCTCTGATGGCATGCACTTTTTAATTGATGAGGGTTTATTATT